ACCCTGAGACGAAGAAGATCATACCGGATTGTCACGGAGGCGCTCAGGCAACACTCCATCCCCTACAGATGGGGATACCCAGTTAAGCTGACGATCGCCAAAGGCGGCACACTCCACACAGTCACCTCTATCAATGATGGCATGGCACTTCTCCATTCGTGGGGCATAGCGGAGCCCCCAGCCCCGCCAGGACAAGACCAAGGGAACAAGCTGCAGAAGGAATGGAGACCTGCCAAGCAAAGAAGGCATACCTCGCGTCCTAACCTATAGACAACCAGGTGTACCCCCATCACACAGGAGGGACGGAAGCTTTTACCCTCGGGACAGTGAGTAAAACATCGACAAAACAAGGACTAAACAGACAACATTGAGTACACACAGTTGCGTAACAATGAACAGTGGCTCTGGTCGAGCCGGCTAATGTGTACCTAGCACCACTTATTCAGACTGCACCCTTATAGGAGACTGTAGGCATTGTGTATGTGACGGGGCGGGGAATAAGGGGGAACCATAATGACAACCCGGATGTGCCCTAGAGCCTGTAGCCCAGGCTCTAGTCATCCATCGCACTAACCCAGGGGCGCCTACTAAGCGGCCCCCTGACTTGGTGCAGGATTTACGACAAAGCAACACATCTCAGGAGACCAAACCTTTAAAAAAAAATAAAAAAAATGCCACCACTAATAACGACGGATGCGTGGGGGCGCGCGGTCGGGAGTGTGCAGGCGTGCGATAAGGCACGTGTATGAGTGCAGGGTCACGTATGAACGCGCTAATGCACACAACTGTTACCGTAACCCCTATGCATCACCAGACCTACGCCAAGCTACACTGGTCTCAGAGGCCGTAACGGTGCCAAGACACGGGCCAACAACACTATAACCAGAGTAAATGGTTCACCCACCCCCAGAATTCTAGAGCTCCCTGAGCTACCCGAGAGACCCAGTGCTCTTGCAGCCGCCCGCTCTCGGACCCAATCTAGCCCGACACGTCCACCTACCCCCACCCAAGAAGGTTCATTTTTACCTTCGATTTGATTTGTTTCATAGGTACCTCAACAGTGGTACCAGTGTATAGTTCTAAGTTAATGTTTTTTAAGTTATGTTGTACAACGGTATGTCAAATGAAACACAATGTCTGGAATATGGTATGCAATAAGAAAACCCCGCCTCTAGGTCAGGGCCAACACACCTGTATAATAGTTTACGGAGATCAAGGCCCAGGGCTAAGAGGGCCTCCCCCCACACGAACCAAGTTCAGAACTCAGCACCAGAATAGCACCAACCTCATAAGGCTCACAACATGAAAATATACACCCACAATGTTAGAGGACTAAATATCCCGCACAAACGACACACCCTACTCAGAGAACTGAAGTCCTCACAAGCCGACATAATCTGCCTACAGGAAACGCACTTCCAGGGGAATCCCATTCCAGTGCTAGGGAAAACGTTCTACCCCCACCAATACCATGCAACAGCACCCACAAAAAGTAAAGGGGTCTCAATCCTCCTTAGCCGCCACTTGGCGTTTGAGGAAATAACGGTAAGACAGGACCCACAGGGAAGGTACCTTATTTTGGTATGCACCATCAACAATTCCACTTACACTATTATTAATGCATACCTCCCAAACGTAAATCAGGGTAACTTCCTCAGCACACTTCTGACCCTCGTAGCTCAATTGCAGACAGGCACGACTATCCTCTGTGGGGACTTCAACCAGAACCAGGACCCCCTAATGGATTCAACAGCAAAGCACTCCTCACACAGGGCCAAAACACTCCACAAACGCTGTAGATCATTGACCACACTTTTACACACATTCGGCCTCTACGACGTTTGGAGAACGCTACACCCACAGGACAGGGAATATACCCATTTTTCGCAAGTACACAACACCTACTCGAGAATAGACGGCTTCTTACTGCACGGTGCACACCTCAACAGGGTGAAAACATGTGAGATAGGGACATCCACATGGTCAGACCACAATCCAGTGGTACTCACTCTCGAGGACCAATACAACTACAAAAACCGCAGCCCCTGGAGATTGAATGAACAACTCCTAAACGATCCCGAGTTCGCCCTGTCATTACAACAAGACATGCAAACATACTTCAACAACAACAACAACCAAGACATATCCCCCATGACCCTGTGGCTGGCCCACAAACCGGTGATCAGAGGCTTGCTGATCCGCAGAGCCTCCTACCTCAAAAAAACATACCACACCACACATATTCAAAACCTGAAGAAACTACACGACCTCCACAAAAGTAACCAGATCTCCCCTACCAAAAGCACACAAGAGGAGATAACCAAACTCCAACGCTACATTAACACAACAAACTTCCAAAAAGCGAGCTACGCAATTAAAAAACTAAAAGCCACAACCTTTGTAATGGGGAACAGAGCCAGCAAAGCATTGGCCCAGAGACTCAGAGACAGGCAAGCCCAAACCAAAATCCCCTTCCTACTGACGCCCACAGGCCAAAAGCTACTACAGCCCACGGAAATATGTAACGCGTTCACGAACTATTACAGCTCCCTCTACAACTTAAAAGACAATACGTCTGTTACACAGCCGACAAACACTTCAATACAAAACTACCTAGACGAGCTTAACCTACCCAAACTCACAGCCCACCAAGTAGCACACCTCACAGAACCGATCTCTACTCACGAGGTAACACAACTAATAGAGTCCATGCCAAAATCAAAAGCCCCAGGCCCTGATGGCCTTACCAATCTCTACTATAATACATTCAAACGCACCTTAAGCCCCTATATCGCACGAGCTCTCAACTTCGCTACAACACAGGGCTCCGCGCCACCCGAATTCTTAGCTGCCCACATTATCACTCTCCCGAAACCCGGCAAGGCACCGACACAATGCCCAAACTTTAGACCCATCTCACTACTAAATGCGGACGCTAAATTATACGCAAAAATCTATGCGGAACGCTTAAAAAACCTACTACCAAACTTGATCGCGACGGACCAGGTGGGGTTCGTGACAGGCAGACAAGGCCCAGATAACTCCCGCAAAGTACTAGATATCCTCCACTATCTCAACCGGGCCAAACAGCAGTGCACGATACTATCACTAGACGCGGAAAAAGCGTTTGACCGGCTCAATTGGAAATTCCTACACGAAACGCTACAAAGATACGGATTCCCACCCTCCTTTCTGAATATGGTCCAAACACTTTATAGCTCGCCGTCGGCCACTGTCCTGAACTCGGGCTTTGGCTCCAAGGCATTTAACATAACGAACGGCACACGTCAGGGATGCCCACTCTCCCCACAACTTTATGTTCTAGCCCTTGAACCGCTGGCCATAGCTATCCGTAACAACCAGGACATACAGGGGGTAACCATAGGTGGCAAGGAATACAAACTGAACCTCTTCGCGGACGACATCCTCCTCACACTTTCCAACCCGACAGTATCCCTACCAAACCTACAGATAGAAATCCAGAAGTATAGCAACAACTCCTACTACCAATTAAACCTGTCCAAAACCCAGGCCATGTGTATCAACATGACCAAACCAGACGAAGAACGATTGAGACACAACTTTAATTACGACTGGAGAGACGATCACCTCACATTTCTAGGCATTAAAATAACTAAGAGACTCACAGACCTCTTCGACTCCAACTACACTAAACTCCTCAAAGAAGTGGCACATATTCTACAGTCGTGGCAGAATAAATATTGTAACGGATCACCTGGCACCCCGACTGGGTACCTCCGTTGAAGGATGCTCCTAGCACTTCCTGAGGACTCTAAGCACTCTGGCAGACACCACAATCACCGAACCGTAGGAGCATGTGAATGCTCTCAAGCATATGAATGCTGTAGACAGTTGAATAGGAACCATATGAATAGGTTTACTCTCCTAGCAGTCAAACTGGAACAGCATACAATAAATCCTTCCCCCAATAATGAGACGACACTTCACTTTGAGGGTTAAAACAGGAACTCCAGTGCTGGCACACCCAGCCTGGTTTTTATTACAATCCACAAAACATAGTACTGCCCACAGGGTTTTGCAGAACCACCAATAAACACATTACAACACATACAATGCAAGTACAGCAGCCAATCAGACACAATGGGAAAATAGAAACACACCCAGCATATTCCTCCCCTCTGCTTAGGAGATAATTGAGTCAATTACTGTATCTACTCAATTATCTCCAAGCTGAAAAGTTACTTTTTGTACATTTTTATAACTCTGTGAGTTAACATCGCACATACATAAAACTTATATTATTTTAACCAGTATAACTTGGGGACAAACATATCCAAAATTCACTTGAATAGGTTCAGGGGTTTAACGGTTAGGTCGAAGTCCTTTGTTTTTACTTGCAAGCATGATTTTTTCCTGGCAAACCAGTTCCCACTGGCAAACCAGTTCCCACTGGTTTGGCAGTGTCCCTGGGACAACACCCTGCTGGAGAACAATGGATCCGGGGGAGGGGAAGAGGAAGTGTCCAAAAAGTTACAGTAAGTACTGTGCTTAAAGAGCCAGTAGCCGCACAATAAAATACAATATGCCCAAATATTGCATTCAAAAGTACAACTTTACCAGGGGCCATAGTCAGCAGGAAGGAGGCGGGCAGCCAGGCCTCTCCAATGCCAGGTGGCGAGGCGGGTTCCGCCACAAATATCTCTCCTGGCTGGGTCGTATAGCGGCCATCAAAATGACTATACTACCAAAAATCCTGTACCTTTTCCGCTCCCTGCAAATACACCTTCCCCAGACTTATCTGCAAAGACTGCAGACTTCCCTAATCAGATTTAGTTGGAGTGGAAAACATCCTAGGGTCCCCAGAACACTCCTGATGAAACCGTCAGACAAAGGGGGTTTGGGATTCCCCAATATCAAGGCCTATTACCAAGCAACCCAGATAACTAACATCCTCACCATGCACTCCCCCACATACACTCCCCAATGGATAGACATCGAAGCCAGCTGCTGCGAGGTCCCAAACCTCCCTGCATCAGTCTGGGCGCCTAAAGAACTGCGGCGTTCTGCGCAAGGCACACTCCCCACGACTAAACTGATGTACACCTGCTGGGACGCACACAGGACTGCCCTGTGCTCGGCCAGGCCTTGGTCCATGGCAATCCCGCTGCGCACCATCGGGCTGTGCAACGACACGTTCCCTTACAGAGCCTGGCAAAGATGCAATATCACACACCTACATCAGGTATGCACCTCACAAGGGCCACAAACAATGTCATCCCTACAGGCAACATACAACATCCCACCACATCTCACATTCTCGTATAGGCAGTTAATATCAACAATCAACAACAAGGGGATGGAAAGTCCTACACAGATGTTCGACACCAATTTCACGCATTTCGAAAAGATGTGTCTCCATCTAACACCAATCCACCGCACTCTATCACTCACGTATAAACACCTTAACTCCCCAACCAAGGAGCCGGTCTGGCGCTTTATAGCGGACTGGAACAAGGATATAGGCAGAACACTCACACAGGAAGAGTGGGATAGCATTTATAGCAACCATAAAGGACTAACCGCCTGCGCGTCTCACCAGGAGGCCGCAAGGAAACTACTTTACAGGTGGTATATGGTACCCACCCGCCTAAAGGCAATATACCCGAACACAAGCGACAGGTGCTGGCGTTGCCAGACACAGGAGGGCACACAAATACACATGTGGTGGACGTGCGATCTGGTGCGGCCCTACTGGGAACAAATAGCAAACCTTATACAGGGGGCCATAGGGTGTATACTGGAACGAAATATTGAAACCATGCTACTCAAACGCATGCCAAAGGGGGTACCTCACTGCATAGCCAAACTCATCTTCATCACGCTCTCCTCAGCTTCTACAATGTTAGCCAAACAATGGAAAACACCGAATATTCCTACAGCGTCAGAAGTTGCCATAATGGTAACAACCACATTGGAATATGAATTGGCCATGTGGAAACAAACAAAAATAGGTAAAGGCTGCACCACGGCTCACGCAATGTGGATGTCTTATATAGAACCAAAAAAAAAAACCTGACCCGCTCCGGCCTGTGTAATATGATGATGATATGTCTGTTTAATATGTGTATGTGAACAAGCACTACAACTGCGTACCCCCCCCCCCTTTTTCCTTTCTGTACCCCCCAACTATGTTCGTTGATAAAATAAAAATTGTCAAATTGAAAAAAAAAAAATAATCCTATGGACATAGGCTGCCGACAATTGGTATGGTGTCTGACGTCACTTCCGGTCGGTGGAGTTTGTCGTCACTTCCAGTCTCCATATTCAGCTTCATTTCCTGTACTACTCAATATAGTGTCCTCTATAAAATGTTAGGTCACCATTTTAGTTGTGGGCAGACTGCCCAAAGTGCAAAGGCTTGATATTTTAGCGGGATGGTAGAGTTAAATTTATAAAAGAAGCGCATCATATAAGTAATATAAACCACCCAATATGCAGATAAGATGCAATATGTATAACATACATTAATTGTGTGTATATATATATATATATATATATATATATATATATATATAGAAAACCCCCAATTGACATCAAATGAATTTTTCTATTCAGATACATACAAAAAAAATTACAAAAAAGTTTTTTTTTATATATTAAAATATATAAAAATGCATGAAGAAATGCCGAACAAACATCATAATAATGGCTGAAGTGGAAGGGAGAAATTTGGACTTAAAGAATTCTGAAAATATAAAAATGTACAAATATAAAAATGTACTGTATGTTATAAAAATCTACTTTATTATAAAAAATTAATCAACTCAAAAAAAAAGTCCAAATTAAGACTCTGAGGATCTAAGGTGTCAAGTTCAAAAATCCATCTCTTTTTCCACTCAACAGTATGTAGAGGCAGTGAATGGGATAGGGAGGTTCGTGAGACCTGGCATCCCTATTCAAAGACCGCAACACCAGGTTGACACTCCAGTGGTGTCTTGGGGCTTAACCCCTGAGGGTTAGAACGAAAGTTATAACAATCCACTTGCTAGTGAAAGGTCAGAAATCTAAAGCCTCTCTCAATAAATGATAGCCATCTTTTCAATCCCTTTGATGTCTCACTACCATAATTCACAATAATGCTGTAGCGGAACGCCAATATTAAATCCATGAATTCCGCTGGTTCAGGAAGTAATCCACAGTCAAGCGCTGGAAAAAGCAAGGCAATATCCCAAATCTCCCAGTAACCGGACGAAACACAGTTCTGAGAGTCAACTGAGGTCTTTATTTTCAGCTCCACAATTTATACAAGTCCCCATGCAAGTCCCCTCCCAGGGGCATTCCCAGAGGGGACTACATGGGGGACTTACCCAAGAAAAATGGGATTATTTAAAAGTTGCTCTATTGAAGGCAACAGAAAATTGCATTAGGCTGGTCAGTAAAAGCAAAAAATTCAAGAAACCACTGTGGTACTCCGCAGATGTGGCCAAAATAGTTAAAAACAAAAAGTTAGCATTTAGGAATTATAAAAAAACCCAGAGTGAGGGAGACAAAATGATCTATAAGATTAGGCAGAAAGAGGCTAAGCAAGTTATAAGAGCTTCCAAATCACACACAGAAGAGAAAATAGCACAGTCAGTAAAAAAGGGGGATAAAACATTTTTTTAGATACATAAATGAGAAAAGAAAAGTAAAACAAGGATTAGTTAGATTAAAAACAAAAGAAGGAAGGTATGTAGAAGAGGATAAAGGTCAGGCTGACTGCCTCAATTAATATTTTTGTTCTGTATTTACAGAAGAAAATGAAGGAAAGGGACCTCAGTTGAGAAAAAGGATAAATGAGTCATTTATTACACGTGAGCTTACAGAGGAAGAAGTTCTATTTCAACTGTCAAAAGTAAAGACAAATAAGTCAATGGGACCTGATGGAATACACCCAAAACTATTAAAAGAGCTTAGTGGTGTACTAGCAAAACCATTAACAGATTTATTTAACCAATCATTGTTAACAGGAGTAGTCCCAGAAGATTGGAAGTTAGCGAATGTTGTACCCATTTACAAGAAAGGTAATAGGGAGGAGTCGGGCAACTATAGGCCAGTAACCCTTACTTCAGTAGTGGGGAAAGTGATGGAAACCATGTTAAAGGATAGGATTGTTGAACATCTAAAAACACATGGATTTTAAGATCAGAGACAACATGGGTTTACTTCAGGGAGATCATGCCAAACTAATCTTATTGATTTTTGATTGGGTAACTAAAATTATAGATCAGGGTGGTGCAGTAGACATTGCTTACCTAGATTTCAGTAAGGCTTTTGACACTGTTGCACATAGAAGACTTATCAATAAACTGCAATCTTTAAGTTTGGATTCCAATATTGTTGAATGGGTAAGACAGTGGCTGAATGACAGGCAACAGAAGGTTGTAGTTAATGGAATATATTCAAAGCTTGGACTTGTCACCAGTGGGGTACCTCAGGGATCTGTACTTGGACCCATTCTCTTTAATATTTTTATTAGTGATATTGCAGAAGGTCTTGATGGTAAGGTATGTCTTTTTGCTGATGATACTAAGATATGTAACAGGGTTGATGTTCCAGGAGGGATAAGCCAAATGACAAATGATTTAGGTAAACTAGAAAAATGGTCAGAATTGTGGCAACTGACATTTAATGTGGATAAGTGCAAGATAATGCATCTTGGACGTAAAAACCCAAGGGCAGAGTACAGAATATTTGATAGAGTTCTAACCTCAACATATGAGGAAAGGGATTTAGGGGTGATTATTTCTGATGACTTAAAGGTAGGCAGACAATGTAATAGAGCAGCAGGAAATGCTAGCAGAATGCTTGGTTGTATAGGGAGGTATTAGCAGTAGAAAGAGGGAAGTGCTCATGCCATTGTACAGAACACTGGTGAGACCTCACTTGGAGTATTGTACACAGTACTGGAGACCGTATCTTCAGAAGGATATTGATACCTTAGAGAGGGTTCAGAGAAGGGCTACTAAACTGGTTCATGGATTGCGGGATAAAACTTACCAGGAAAGGTTAAAGGATCTTAACATGTATAGCTTGGAGGAAAGACGAGACAGGGGATATGATAGAAACATTTAAATATATAAAGGGAATCAACACAGTAAAGGAGGAGACTATATTTAAAAGAAGAAAAACTACCACAACAAGAGGACATAGTCTTAAATTAGAGGGACAAAGGTTTAAAAATAATATCAGGAAGTATTACTTTACTGAGAGGGTAGTGGATGCATGGAATAGCCTTCCAGCTGAAGTGGTAGAGGTTAACACAGTAAAGGAGTTTAAGCATGCATGGGATAGGCATAAGGCTATCCTAACTATAAGATAAGGCTAGGGACTAATGAAAGTTTTTAGAAAATTGGGCAGACTAGATGGGCCGAATGGTTCTTATCTGCCGTCACATTCTATGTTTCTATGTTTCTATGTTACAAGACATTTCTCCCATCAGGCACTGCTGCACGAGAGGGATCCTCCCACAGGAATGTACCGTTAAGTGGATTATCCTTCCGTGCAGCAGAACCGACAATTTATATAAAAATGCATAACTGTTTGAATATATGGTCTATTTGCACGAATGGATGTCCGGTAGATAGCTGGGGTCTGAGCGCATCATTCGTGAGATTACCGCTCAGATCCCAGCTAAAACAACTGAACGCCGCACGAAAAACATATTCATTAAAACATATGTTCAAAAGACCGATTGCATGCCAGGGAACAAGATACCGAACGGCCCGGAACTCCTGAACGGCCTGGAAGCTCAGCGGTGTTCGTGCTGTCGAGTAGCCGTTTTTAGTACCATGCGCTCGACAACCAAACACCGCTGAGGGAACAAAGGATCCAAGATGGCCAACCGCCGCATGGTCGGTAGTCGAACGACGACCACCTTGGAGAGCCTCTAATTACCGATTGCAACATTGCTGCAATCGGTTAACAAGCGCCACACGTCTCTTAGTGTGTGGGCTATTAAATGATAGTTAATTCGGTTCACGAACGGCCCGCAAAGGTGCCGTTCGTGAAACGAAAGGAAATCAACTATCTGCTTTCGGCAGATAGCCAATGCAAGCAATACAGTGTTACACAATCACATTACATTATACGCTGGAACACACATAACACGAAAATCATACAGGCAACCCTTAAAGCGACAGTACTTAAATAATGTCCAAGTGGCTAGGTTTGCCACAAATGCCTTCTTC